TCCATTTCATGATAGCATCACCGACGGTCGACTTTGGATAGTGCAGGCTGTCCGTAATTGCACGAATCGACAGGCCAGCGTTGTGACATCCGACAATAACACACCTCTCGAAATCAGTCAGCTCGTCTCCACGTGCCATGACAAGAACCACTAAATTGTGGGGGTCGCACGTATTCTTTATATACCGGTGCTAGTCACGCGTTTCGACGAGAAGGTGCATTGGACTATGAAAACAGGGGTGTCCAGATACTTTTTGGTAACGACCCAACCGGCGGGATCATTGCGATTCCAGAATAAGCCATCAAGTACGGTGTTCTCTCAAAGCTCTGCGTATCAACCGCTTGGACATTGTACGTCTTGAGCACCCCCACCCCACCCCCCTCCTACTCACGGAGGTGTTCGTGCATACGATTCGACTTTTCCGGATCCCAAGAAATGAATGGGTGGAGATCTCATCCCAGGCGAGAAAGTAATCCTTTCTCAAGGTATGAAAGGAGACACCAAGTGTGATACGCTGGGACTTTTACACGTCCCTGCGAAAAATTTCGTATCGGAGGTGTGAACACCAGGAGTGTGGCCGGCGGAGGCATGCATAGAATGCCTTTCTCTCCCGTGTTATTTTTTGGGATGACATGGAGAGATAAAATGTATCCGCTAGGGTTCGGTGGTGTAATGAAAGCATACCTAACTGAAAAGGAATAGGTCCTAGTTTCGATTCCCGCTTGTTCCATCGTTTTTTGTCCTCTTATGCCATCTGAACTCTTCTCCCCCCCGCCCCCCCCCCGGGGCTGTTACGTTATCGAAAATATCGACTGTCGCAACGGCAGGAAAAAAGTGTTAGCCGAAGAGTGCGAGACGTACACCTGGAGGGCAGGCATGATGGCGCCGCACATGCGCACATGCATATGCGACATACGGAGGCCCAAGCATCTAATATATATAGACGATCGTGACTGACTGACTGAGGCTAATTCTAACCATGTTCTAGAGAAGTTAGAAATATGAAACTTGGTACACATGTACCTTTTCGGATGCAGAGTTCAGAAAAAATCCGACTTTGTAGGTACATGCCCTGGGGGTACACATTTTGGGGGGAGAAGTTTTTAAAGATATATATTGTGACGGATTAGAATGGCATCGAGAGGGATGAACGGATATCCGAGTTCGGCGGTGTAGCACACCCGACCGGAAATCAGGAGCCCTGGGTTCAGTCCCGGGCGGTCCTTAGCTTTCTTTCGGCCTCATGCCTTCCAAGTCGCGTTACTCATTCCCCCTCAGTAACGACATTTTTGCTTTAATAAAACGGAGAGACATGGAAAGGTGAAACATGCCATGGACATGCCTACAGAGACGATGAGTTCAGGGAAAATGTAAAATTTTATATCCATGCCTGTTGGGGGCGTATGTTTAGGGGGCGACGCTTTTCAAGTAATTTTTTTTTGCCATGGCGTATTGAGCTGGTGTGGAAAGATGAAATTTGCTACATAACTACCTATTGCGATGCTGCGCGCAAAAAAGATTCAGACTTTGGAAGTAAATGCCCTGGGGGCACAAATTTCAAGGGAGATGTTTTCAAATAACTTCTTGCATCAGTTAAACTGATGAACATGGAAAGCTGAAACTTTGAATGAATGTGACTACTGAGACAAGGAGTTTAAGAAAAATGTTAGATAATGGAAATGGAAAGGTGAAACTTGGCACATGTATAAGGGACATGGTATTATTGAGTTATTCAGCTTTCATGGTGCATCCACTCCGGGCATAGTTTTTGGGTGGATCGACTATTCTAAACATGTTTTTTCACCAGCAAAAAGGGCAAACGTGTAAGGTTGAAACTTTGTGGCCATGTAGTTCTCTGAGGATTGATTTCGGTTTTAATAAAAAGGAACTTTTCTGTTAAAACGCCTGAAGGCACATTTACTGTAAAGAGCGTATTTACACGCATTTCTGATCCAGCAAAACAGAGGCAGCTAGGAAGTTTAAACTTGGCAAAGAAGAACCTGATGTATGACTGTTTTCAATAAAAGTTCTACTTTGGTGATACATGCCATAGTGACACACATGTTTTCAATAGTCCTCTTTGCTTCAATCAAACGGAGACATAAGGAAAACTGAAACTTGACAAGTACGTGTCTGCTGAAGCACTTAGCTCAGGAAAAATGTCACAATTCCAAAATAATGGAATTTTGGGGGAGATATTTCTTCGGGACATTAAGTTTTCTAAGAATTATTCATTTCCTAGCGAATCGCGCAGAAATAGAAAAGTAGCAGCTGGCACACGCATAACGGACGTGATGTTGATTTAAGGAAACATTCAACTTTTGTTGTGTGTCCCTCAGAGCACATCTTTTGGGTCGGGCGCTTTTCCAAATACATTTTTTACCGTCAGTAAAAAGGGGAAACGTATATGGCTAAAACTGGTTGGCATGGAGTTCCCTGAGTCTCCATGTCAGAAGGAAAAAATTGTTTCGCTAAAATCCATCAGAGTACAGAAAAAATCCTACTTTTGAAATATGTCCCCTGAGCGTAAGTTATAAGAGGGAGTTACAATATTTCAAAATGTATTTTTCACCCTAACAAAAAGGGACACATGAAAAGATTTCAAGTTAGGCACACTAGAAATCATAGAAGTAATGATTTTGATCAAAATGAAGATTTTCGTCCCCATGTGTTACGTATTTCATTGGGGACGCATTTTAAATACGTGTTTGCCATTTCGCAAAGAATAAATGAATTAATNAGAATAAATGAATTAATCACTATCCAAGGTAATGGAGCGCCGAAGGCGCGACCATAGCGAGTTTGTTGGCCCGAAGGGCAAACAAACTCCCTAGTATTATATATAGAGGTTTTTTTTAATATTTGGATTTAAAGCGTGATTTTTTAAAGTGAATATTTAGATAAGGTATGACTAAAGTATGGTTTATTTTCGGCAATCAAGAGCAATTCTGTCAAATTCTCCATTTCATGACCTTCAAAGATTGATCATGTAAAATTTATAGGGAAATTTGAAAAATTTCAGAGGAAAATCCCACATATTGACGTCATGACTCAGATTCGACTGAACCTGAATAAGCCATTCCTCTGGTGGATGACCACGTTTGTGCTAAATTTGAGGTACAGCTGTGGAGATTCCACCTCTGCCAGAGTAGAGTTTACCTCATGAAGGCGTGGCCTATGGAGGCCTATGGAGGGCGTGTTATTCGAAAGGAAAAGTTCATTGACAACACAAGATACTAGGAGATTGAGGGACCGGATGTCCAGCCTGGATGAATTTACACCAGGGAGGGTCAAGTGAAACAGGAACATTATTTTTATACTGAGGCTGCTCCCCCGACTGCTGAAATTACTCTCACCAAGAAGACTCGCACATGCATGTGCGATACATGAAATACAGGTATGTATTTACGTCATGTACTGTGGTATCACCTTCTGCAGAATGGCGTTCTGTTTCAGAAGTGCATCCAAAGAAATACACCCAGGACTAAGGCAATATTTATTTACTGCTTGAGGGACCCCAAAGAAAGACCATGAAAGAACGTTTACTGCAGAATGATCTCTGTATAGGAAGGCTGCAGTGTGACCAAATGTGCATAATATGAAAGGAGATAACGTTAGGAGTTAACGTTGAACATTGAGGATACTGGCACTGCTCCTCCCCCACCCATCGTCCCATACCTGGATGCAGTTATAATTAGCGGAAGCAAACTTGTTTTCATTAACTTTTGGTAAAATTGTTATGGTTCTCCGATCCAGGAGGAAACTATCCTCCTAACCGGTAGCTTGAGCTACAACATGTTGGTCAATGTTACAATCAATTTCATGTATTGCCTGTCAATGATGTATGGCATGAAAGGAGAGAATAAACGCAGAAGGACGGCACACTGATCGCGGGGACTTTCAGAACGAACCTTATGACCAACCTTATTTCGCATTTTTGAGCTTTTTCGTGACTGTAATTTTCATGATTTATATGTTGTTTCATATTTTGTATAAATTTACCATACCATACCATATATTATATATTATACATTTATTAAAATAACTGAAGATTACAAATGTAATGGGTGAAGGAAGACCTCTAACAGAACTGAGGCATGTATAATTGCGACCATTCTAGCGTAATATGAAGCGCGAAGTGAAAAGAATCCTAAAAATTGTTGTAGAAACCATGTAAATGCATTGTTCATTGGAATGGACGCCAAGTCTGAAAGGGTTAAGATTCTGAATCAATTACTATTAGTACGCCTTTCAATCCGACAGCGTCTGCTAGCTGGACATTTCTAATCACTAAATAAATTAGAAATAAGGAAATGTCTGAAATGTCTAATCCAGAGGGAAGATGTAGACTCTTACGACCCGGGAACAAGAGGCCCTAGGGATCACTTCGGGCGTTTATCCTACAGATATCTATTACCATCTCTGAACTCCTTGTTCAAACGAAAAAGGGGAGGAATCTCAATCCCAGGAGGGTTCTGTCGTAGGGCGTGGACCATTGCTTTTTACTAAAATATCTAAATCAGGATGCATGTATGCCTTCGTCCACGGTTGACAGTAAAAAAATTAAGGGAAGTAGCCAATGACTAATTGTTTGTACATTAAGGGTGTCGCCAGCGCGAGCTTGTTGGCTGAGATCAAGCGTGACCCCTAGTGGAATAGAATCGTAACGAGACTTCCATAGTGTGGCTCACAAAGCGCTGCTCCTCCATGTATGCATAGTCGCTTGAAGATAGAATGATCAATTTCTTATTTAGTGAATGCATCAAGCCTCTTCTTAAAATTGGTCATAGTAGGGGTAGTCACCGCATCGTCACTAAATGCATTCCATGCGTTCACAGCCCAACAAGTAAAAAAAGTTCCGTCGCAACCTCTACCTCTCCTGGGGTTTGCGCACTTTTATTCGGTTCCCTCTCCTTCTGCCGCTAACATCGCACTGGAAAACCTACCACTCTCGATGCTATCGATTCCCTTAAAGGAGGTCTCCCCTCGCAAACCTTCTCATGAGTGAGTACAGTCCTAACGCTTCTCAGAAAGTCGGATTGTGCCTAGAATCGTGTTACATTTAGTTACCGTCGCTTTCTCGTACGAGAACTTGAGCTAGACCTCGTCTATATTAATCCCTAATGTTTTCACTCCGTTTACCTTCTCAGGCCTATCGACGCCGAACTTATTAAGAGACCCACCGTTGTTATGACCGATGTGAAAAACCTTACACCGACTTTTCTTAAACCTCATGAGTCATTTCTTACTCCATTCCACTAGATAATCAAGGAATATGCAAATCCTTCACTGCCCATCACATTGGCCTTGATCATTTTCTGCAACTCGTTTTTAAGAGGGTGCAGACTGTCCTTGGATCGTGCTGATCAAACTCATGATCGTCCGACTCAGTTACTGCTTTCCTCATGATGAAGCCCTCCTTCAAGTAAATATACTAACTTGGAATTCCCCAGCGAATATTATTATTTACTAGATGTATTCCTGCTACAACTTTCGGCGATTAAAGTACATAATTAACGTTTTCCAGGCACCTTCTTCCCAAAAGGGAAGGGTGGGAATGAGGATCTGCAAGGTATGCTACTCTTCGCTCATGAAGATGCTCAACACATATCCATCCTCCCTGTGGTTCCTCAACGCAGTGAGTCATCTGTTATATCTCTTACCAACTGCATTTGCAATTTGGACAGTCCAATATTATGCTAATAAAAGTTTAAACTACAGGTACTGTGATAAGCAAAGTATTCCAGGTAAATAGAAAGATAGAAAGAATGGGAAGTGAAACTGATCCCCAGTAATGGATAATAACTGAATGAATGTTACTTTTGAATAATCCCAGCAATTAATATCACATCTGAATATTAGAATATTTCTTCTTCTGAACAGTGATTCAACATTTCATCGAAATCGACACAGTTCACATATCAATAGAGGCTTATTTGCAGTTTTAATTTCATGACACGTTCCTATAATCCCTATAAATGACACTGCTGAGCGTTGAAGGAGAAGCTTTCCATCAACGTTGGTTTGTGGCACTGGAGAGGTTATTCGCCGTCTCCCATTGGATTGGCATACTCCATGACGTCACCAGAAATATCGTTCACAAATGCCATTAAAGAAGGTATCATTGTATCCCATCACTACTTACACTTTCAAACGGTGCTTGATTTGAATCGTCAACGTAGATGACGCCGAATAGACAGAAGCTGAACGCTCACACAACGGAACTGTTTGCTAGGTAAGTACAGGGTGGCCCAGACTAAAAGGGCACTATTTTCAATATTAATTTTAGGTGTGATACTTTCATGGATATTTTTTTGGTTACATGCAATGGACTAAAAAAATCAGTTCCAACATCTTATTTTTCAGCCTTGATATATCTCATTGGATGACTTATAAAATAATCATTAAATTTGGTTACCTTATGTCGCCGTTGCGCTCACAACTTCATCCGACATCCACTCCATGTCCCTGAGACTCACAAGAAGGAGAAGGGAAACACTGACCTCAGCAAATATCGCAAAGATGATTGAATGTTCCTTGCCACCATATGCGGTCGCTAAGTGGAACGTCAATTTTTCAATACTGAAATTTGATCATTTTTCTGTCATCCTTAAAGATATTTCAAGACTGAAAAGTAAAATTTTATATCTGAACCTTTTTTTTCCATCGCTCGTAACCCTTGAAGGAATCACATCTAAAATAGGCGTCGAAAACATAGTTGTCCTTTTTTTGAGCCACCCTGTACTTCCAGCCATGCATACATGTATGTGTAGTTCCATGCGCAAACCTGGGATAATCAGTGGGGGCAGGGGAGGCAAGGGAGGCTCGGCCTCCTAAAAATTCTTAGGAGACCCTTCCCTAAATGATTAAAAATAAGGATGAAGACAGCAAATAGAAGGAAATCTCAGATAATGATTGAATTAATTCTTTAATTTACGTAAAACGAGCGAAATTCCTCTCTGGCAGTTTGCACCAGAGTGTATGGAGGCCTCCACAAGCTCATTGACAATGCACAGGAACAGCCCGCAGCAAGAGCAATACAATAGTGAACTAGAGCAGGGAGGTCGGCCTAGCCGTCTGCATTGCGCCTGGGCCTACTAGCAGGAGCTAACTTTCCTTTAGGCTCCTTTGCCTCAAGTAGAGAGCTTTTCGATCATCCAAATTCACATTGCCCATATATAGGGTGTATGACAACTCCCTATTTTAAAATGTTTGCAATTCTTAATTTTTTTAAGAAATTCAATGAAACGAATTGTGAATTATGCACCAATTAGTGATTTTTTTTCGTTTTTGCTTTTATTTCAGGGTAAAGAATGCCTAACAGACTAGCAGTTTAACAAAGGGCCATAATAGCTGCCTGTTACCAAGTTTGGGGATCAACAATTAATGTTCGGCGATAGTGGAGGGTTGAAAATCGTCCTCATACAACACTGGATGCAAATATTTGGAAATAAATGTCATTCGAAGTTAATGACAACCGGTTCAGTAACAGAAAACACCAAATCATGACGACCACCAACCTCGCAAACACCTGAAAACATTGAAATGTCGAACGCAATAATGACAATAATTTTGGTGAATCAGTTTATGCAGGCATTCGTTCTTACTGAACTAAATGAAATCTCAATGAACTTGAATAAATCAGCAATGCTCTTCATAACGTCCCTCGAGACATGTTACAATCAGCCATGGGAAACATGGCTAAAGAAATGTGTTAATAAGGATCTTACGTGGAAGTATGAAGATTAGACGAATAGCTCAGTAACTGAGCATAATTCACAGTTTCTTTCATTAAATTTCGTTAAAAAATAAGTTACAAGCATTTTAAAATGGGGATTTACTCATCATACACCATGTATATATACGCAGTTGCCATGGATTACCCGGTAAACGAACGGAATCAATAGGCGCGGTACCGTCTATTACCCTTCTTAAACCCCTATCGCAACAAAGTTCAGCCTCCTACTAATTCCCTTTGAGAGCGTCGACAGAAACGAAGTTTGGCATGCTTTTTCCTCTCTCAGTACACACTTTCTCCAACTAACTTGAAGCCCCATCTCCCCAGAGTTGTGGAGACCACTGAATCTCGAATTTTGATTATGTGAATTTCATTCCGTTTTATTCCTTCCGCCTGTTTTTTTTTTCTCCCTACCTCACTCCTGGGGAGTTTTGGGAGGAATGAGGTCAAGCAAACGAAAGATATTATCATACTTATAGGTGACGAGAAGTGTCCTTGTTTCTTGCAGTGCCCCATTTCACCATAAGAAACGAAATTAGCTCCCGTTCATATTGACTTAGCGTGCTTGATACAGTTCCATCCCCCCGTGTCGCTGGATGCCTAGCTGAATAATTGCCAGATTCATGATTTCTTTGACCTTCATATCAGTGCCATGATCATATTTTATGCATAGGACTTTTGTGCTGAGTTCATAAGATGTGCTGAGAATGAAGTTTTCGTTAGCAGTGGCTAATCGATATGGTGGGATGTGGAGTAATCTTATTCAGACATCTTTGAATTAACTGGATGGCGCAAATCTTGGACTTCATGCTTCTGCGAGTAGTGCATTTTCATTCCCTCAATGAAGAAAAGCTGCACTCAATAGTCAGAGTATTATGGTGATGAATGAAGAAGTTACCCAGAAATTATAATGAAATTCCCAAACTTTCTGAATGCCCTTTGTAACTGTTATTGGCCATCTACATTATATTCCATAGTAGTAATCCCATTCTGTAGTTTTCTTCAGAGATAACTATTAATTTCACATGTTTTCAATGCTTCCTTTGAAACTATTATCAAGCAGAAGTCTAGATATTTAGATGTTGGACAATTGCTTCAGGAGTTTCCATAGATTTTGACATGATTTCAAAGTTGCTTGGAGACCATTGCAATCCATTTAATTCCAGAAAAAAATTGCATTTTTCATCTTTTTCTCTTAATTGTTAGTCTCCTCCCCACCCCCTCATTTCCACTTTCATATTATCAGGAAGTGGAGAAATATGGATGACAGGGGATAAGCTCGCCCAGGTGTCTGGTGAGGGTCGACTCTCTTCAGACAAAAGAATCTTATTCCGAGGGAAAACGAAGGTGACGTGGCAGAGGCACACAGTCACCATGTTATGGTCCATGGACAGGAAGTTAGCAGGATTAAAACGACTCAGCCCAGGTAAGTAGTACGTCATGATGTCTCTCTCCCAAACTCCCAACTTGCAACCCTAGCATGTTATGTCCTGTTGGGGAAACCAAGCGATACAAAGAATTACGGGCATAACCATCACCCAACTGCGGTTAACACAAATCATGTTAACATGAAATTTGGCATGTAACATATTATGCCAGGATCACAAAAAATACTGATTAGGTCCAATTAATGAATGTGATGATTCTGATCTTTTAATTGTAATGCTGTCATTAATTACACATGGTTTGAGGTGTGATACAAAAACTGCGGTACTGACACTAAACACATGAGCATGATACCAATAAATGCTTTTTTTTTATAACTCTTGCATCAGTAATTTTGTTAGCCAGAGAGGGAGATGGGTTCATATGTCCGTCATATGCAATGGTTAAGCCTACACCCTATGGAGAAAGTGTTTCCCTACTCTCCCATGTTTTCAGATGAATTCATCAGGAGATAAACAACAAGGACTAGAGTTTTATCTGTCATAAAACCAACCCAACCCAACATTACCTAGCCTAACTTTAGATGGAAAACACTATCTCAATGGGGGATGCACTTATTGTGCACATCATCGACCTTCAACCACTTAAGACTTCAATATTGTTCAGGGCTAATAAATTGACCTAACATGCTAGAGAAATAGACATTAACATAAATCTCATGTAACCATCAGTCACTGATGTTCTTCAGTCACTACAACGTTTCTACTTACAAGAAGATGCACAATTACAAATCATATGAATTAATCATGGCCTCTTCCAAAATAAGTGGTCTGATCAAAAAGTTCCAGTACTTTCTTGATAAAAAAAAATAAACCGCTTGATGTGGTGGGCTAGGACTAGTGTCGGTGGGAGTGGGGGGGGGGGGGGGTAACCGCATGCATGGTGAAACCTCCTTTGCGAGAATCACGAGTGTTGAAATCCGGTCGTCTCTGTGCTCCTCGTTGAATTTTCGATCATGCATCCTGATGCATCATAAGGTTGTCCCACAATGTTGTCCCACAGTTAAACAGGCTTACTGCAAAGATGTTTTGACCTATCTGCGAGAAAAAATTAGAAGAAAACGGCCGCTACTTTTCCAATATGAGGCTTGGTTCTTGCATCACGACAATGCTCCAGCCCACACTGCTCTCACAATTCGAGAGCTTTTAGCAAAAAAAAGAAATTCCTGTGTCGCCCCATCCTCCCTATTCACCGGACCTGGCTCCGTGTGACTTTTTCCTGTTCCCCATTGTTAAATTTCGCTCGAAATAAAAAACATTTGAAGGCATTGCAAGTATCAAGGAAAATGCGACGAGACAGCTTAAGTGTCTTACATTCCAGAACATCCAGCACTCCTTCCAGAAGTTGCAGGAGCGTTGGGATAAGTGCATAGCATCGAGAGGGGAATACTTTGAAGGCGACAACAATTAATTTTAATTTACTTATGAAAAATAAAGTTTACGAATAAAAGTACTGGAACTTTTTGATCAGACCTTGTATGTCAATTTCTGGGAATTTTTGGAAATATAGAATACAGAAAGTCCCAAGGAAATAAATTAACCAAAGCAAGGGCCCTCCTCACCCATCTGTGAATTATACGAGTAGCCTGACTTTCGTACTTTTTTAGAATAGAATATTGGTTTTTGTGCCCTTGGACGGTCAAAATGAGAAGCTCATTGGACATCCACTAAGTATGCATCTTAAAAATCAAATGGATATCTAAATATCTCGCCCAGGTATTATCCTTGGAAGCATAATGGAAACCCAGGTTCTTCTTACTATAGATCAAATATAGATAGCCCACAGGATAGTCTCAGGAAAATATCATCTACAGCGAGTTGGTTACAAACTCGCTATTGTCGCGCCTTCAACGCTCCATTGCCTGGATTGTGATTCATTCAATTATTTATTCTCAATGTGACAAAAACGTTTTAAGTGTGTGCGCGTCGAAAATGTATCAAGAGCGAACAAACCGATATTTCCATCGGAATAATCTCTTCAGATCTCTTCAGAATCTGCCCAGAGGGGTCATATTTGAAAAGTAGGACACGTACTCAGCAATCGAACAGGTACTTCTGCTCCAAGTTTCAACTTTCTTTAGTTCTTTCTTCAATGAATCAGAAAAGTTTCCAGAAAATGCACCTCCTGGAAGAAAATATGCTCTCAAGGGTTTTACTTAAAAATTAACATTTTTTACAGAAATCATTTCTCGAAGAACTATGTGCATACTAAGTTTCAGCCTTATCTGTTTGCTCTCATTGCTTGTGCAAAAATATATTTGGAATTGCCGATATAGCCAAAAGCTGTGCCCCAGGAGTATGCACCACAAAACTTGAATTTTTTCTGAACTCACCCTTACCTCAGCTATTGCTGTGCCAAGTTTCACATTTCTATCTCAGAACAGAGGAAAAAAGAAATATTTGAAAATGACACCCCCGAAAGTATAACCCCAGGGTATGCACCTGAAACTGGACATTTTTCCTGAACTTCGTGTCTCAGTACGCACATCCATGCCAAGTTTCAGCATTTTATGTCTCTCCGCTTGAGAAAAGCAAATATATATCATTAAAAAAATTACCCCCCCCCCCAAAAAAAAAGGGTGCCCCCAGGACAGGCACCTACAAAGCCGGATATTTTTTGAACTCTGCATCCCAAAAGGTACACGTGTACCATGTTTCAGAATTCTAACTTCTCTAAAACATGGTTAGAATTAGCGTCAGTCGATCACGATCGTCTATACATATTAGATGAACTAATTATTAACTGCTGCCGATGGCACACTGGAAATGAACTGTACCAATCTTGTTCATCACAGTACTTTTGCAGCTGTACTGTACAAGCTGTGGTCCATGCCAGGAATATTTCTATGTGACTGTATCATCTGTATTGTATCATCTGTGTGTGACCCGTGACTCTTCCTGTCTCGCCATCCTGGCTTCTGTTCGTCAGTTTCATCTGCTCTGTCTATTAAGTGAGTCCTTTGTATCTTTGTCTTTGTCTTTGGAATTTGTCCGCTGATGCTTCGCTCTTCAGCCTTGGAAACCTGGACCTTGTTTTCTCCTTGCGGACTGGAGAACCTTCTGTATGAGTTGAGTATCTCAGCAGAGGATTACCTCTGTGGCATTGTGTTCCTTTTTCTGATTTTTTGAAAATCACTCCTACCACAAGAACTTCCTTTCCTCCCCATAACCAACCCCGTCATCTCTGTTATCTGTGATGTGTCTTTCTTCACCTCTTTACTTACATTAAACCACTGTTGTGTCTTCATGAACACTGTTCTTTTAATTGTCATAAGTTATCATATCGACAGCTTGTCCTGTCTGTGGAGTCAGGTCCGATAAATTGCCTCATATACAGGGTGCCAAACAATGATAGCCCCCCCTCCCCAGAGTAAACGAAGCCTGGTAGAAAAAAAATGAAAATACCAATAGGTAGCACAATTTATTGTGGGTTTATATTTACAAGCTCAATATTCAGTGTTCCCTCCATTGGCATCACGAACAGCATGAAGACGCGTAGGATAGGAAGACAAAAGTGACTCAAAAAGTTCTGTGTTGAACTACCCCCCCCTCCCCAGAGTAAACGAAGCCTGGTAGGAAAAAAATGAAAATACCAATAGGTAGCACAATTTATTGTGGGTTTATATTTACAAGCTCAATATTCAGTGTTCCCTCCATTGGCATCACGAACAGCTTGAAGACGAGTAGGATAGGAAGACAAAAGTGACTCAAAAAGTTCTGTGTTGAACTCCATTTCTCGAAGGACAGCATCGATATGCTCCTCCATCCTGGTACGACTAAATTGAGTTGCGAGAGGTTCAGACAGCATCCTTTTTTCAACGTTGTCTTTCAAGATAGATCCAATGTTTTCACAGACATTCAGATCGGGAGAATTACCTGGCCACTCTTCATTACCAAAGAAATCGATGTTGTTGTCCTTCAGAAGGTTCTGGGTTCGAAGCGCTTTCATGCACGGTGCTTTGTCATGCAGAAAAGTAACCTGAGTGACGTCCAGAACATTTTGAGGGTCTTGAAGAAAGGGAATGACGCGCTCTGTCAAGATTTTCTCCCGAAAATAATCTCCATCCCAACTTTGTCCACGAGGCTTCATCACCCACATCATCCGCCGCACAGTGAAGAGGACAAAAACGCCAACACATTCAGGACTTTTGATCAATTCACGATGATGCTCTTCATCTGGAATCTCATCCGGAGTCAATGCCCAGATTCTGTCGTTCTGAAAATTGGGTCTTCTCGTGACATAAACGAAAAATTCATCGCTCACTGCTAAATGGAGGAAGCTGCCTTCATCCCACTCTCTTAAGAAGTCCACAAACCAAAGGCGGTCTTCAATATTCAGTTGGCAAAATGCTCCGAAACCTTAGAGTACGGTACGGAAGTTCGGAACAGAAACTGCTTTGTTAGCTTGTTGAAGGGCTGAGGATCAAAAGGGTGCTGCAAGAACCTAAAGAACCGATTCAACGCACGTCGTTTTCTTTCGACGGCAGGATCCCTCAATGACAATGTTTTTTGACTCCTGAGACAAAACTTCCGGCCTGCCACCCTTAAACTTAGCTTCACAATCGTCTAGACTCTTTTTCCAATTACGCTTGACAAAGTCCTCAGATCTTCCAAGCCGTAGAGCAACCCAAGACCGAGAGATAAAGGAGGCACCAGCGTCACGAGCCTCACGAAACGTAACTGCTCGAATGCGGTCGACAAATCTTTTTTTTCACTGTCGTTTAACACAGCAGCACACATGTTAATACCTGCAAAGAAGAAGAATTGGATGTACTTTCAGATTATATCACGATCACACTTCTAGCTATTACAGTATTTCCCCGGCAAGGGGAGGCTATTATTGTTTGGCACCCTTTATATACCACTGTGTTCATAAATATGAAACTGTGTGCGTATCATCTCATCATATTTCAACTGATCCTTTTCTTTTTTATAGATCCACCAGAATGCAAACTGACATGGCATGGAACGGAGTACGTGGGGAAGATGAACGTGACGATGTGGGGGTTTCCCTGTCTACAATGGCTCATGCGCATTAATGAGGATGAAGGACGCTTATTACACGATGAATTGGATGGAGGACACGCATTTTGTCGAAACGATGTCTTCTCTGCAGGTGGTCCGGGATGTTACGTCTCCTTAGAAATGACTCCGAGTTCTTGGCGTGCTTGCGACGTTCCATTCTGTCCCACCATCAAGGAGGGAAAATGCGACGTTCGAGTTGAAGGGCATTGTATCAGTGAGTAACTAACTCTTCTTGAGAAACTTCCAAACTCATCAAGCTCATTCTTATGATCCTGTGTCATCCCTCGAACAATTCTGTGGCGTGGACTAAGCAGCAGATACACAAGTTTTTGTTGTTTTTTTTTACAGGTCCACTAGAATGCAAGACAGACGTGAAGGGGGTGTCATACATAGGCACGAAAAATGTGACCAGAAAAGGACACAAGTGCGTGGCATGGATTGTTGGTTGGATGGGCCAAGAAGAACATGATTATTCCGACTATACGGAAAAGGCTAACATGATCAGCAATTTCCAAAAGAGGTTAAAGGACGATTTGTACCCCACTCACAACTTCTGCCGGAACTGGAACGATGACGATGAAGATCCTTGGTGCTACAAGAGCGACGGGCGTGGTAGGGAATATTGCGATATCCCCATATGTACCGAAAACGTTTCCGAGAAGTATGAACATTGATTTTGCCCTGCTTGTACTGTTTAAATATTCTCTCATAACATCTTTCGCACTGTTTTTTTTTTATTCCAAGCAGATTTTCACTTCGGTCTGCTTCTAATTTCTGTCTCGGTGAAGTTTCGCCATTATCAATACTGGACCAATAGTCTACTTGACGAACGCAAAACCAAACCCTGTCCAGTCTTTTACACGTAATTATGCCATGAAAACTACAAAACTTTTTGCATTGTTCCTTGATGATATCGATGATATCGAATCGCCCATTGGAGTTACACGTGTATGTAATCTTGAGCATTTTGTGCTGAGTTGGACTTCGAATGGCTTCATGTTTTTTATCCGAGGGTGGGGGCGGAACTGGAAAAATTAAATTATACCTATCCCTTTTGAGCAATTTGTTCATTGCAACAATGTTCAAGAATATCCCACTCCATTATTTCCATCCGGCAGTTTTTCAATATCCTCTCGATCATATTCCCAGATGGTGCGTTAAGTGAGGAAAAGTCCCAGCACTGTCGAAATGTTCATGCATTGAACAATTCGTATTTCTTCGAATGAGTCGAATTTCTGCTTACCTGTTGATGCATTGTTACAAGTCAAACAATTTTCATCATTCGTATGTAATTTCATGAAGGTCTTGATTCGGCGAATAATGCCATTATCCCAACTAATTAAGGTTTGGCTGGTTTAAAAATGATTGTCTTCACTGCTTCATTAAATAGGTAATTAACTTACTAACAAGGAAATCATTGAACACAAGGGCCATGCGAAGAACTGAAAAAGAAATCCACGTTCTCTAAAATAAGTGTTCGGGATGTGTCCCTCGGAATAGACCCATCAATCACTGTTCACTCTAAATTTAAGGACTGTCCATTTACGTAATTAACTCAAATCCCATCTACCGCCAATTTAAGTTCCATTGGGATCTCAGATTACACTGATTAACTGGGAGAAATTCGTCATTTCTTCCCACTGAAAAGCTTTCTACTCGAGTTCAGTAATTCGTAGACCTTGTAACGAACATGTGCCAGTGTGTCGTATCTCCTCTCCGGCTGAGTAAAAATGTTGCTTTCCCTTCAGCCAAAGAATGGAGATGAACGTGAAAAATGGAAACGCGTTTTTGCTTCGAGGAAAAGTTAACTGTTAGATTAGATGCAAAGCAAATGATTTGTATTTTTGCAGCATTTTTATTTTGAAGGGAAAACTCTGAAATGAGTAAATAAGAGACATCCTGAGTTGGCCAGGCAACTCGGCAGTAAGGAATTGCAGTAGTCGCATCGGGTTCACCAAGATAAGAGAAGCTATGTTAATTTCTGTTTTTCACCATAGGTCTACAGAGATGCGCAATTACCCTTTCTAGCAAAGAAAATTCTCAGCGTAATCGGGGATTCCACCAGTGGCATTGAAATATATGGTGATGTGCTGATTACAAGGCCTACAAGGTTCTGGAATGCTGTCATTGGATAGACCACAAAAACCTGGGTAGTATACTCATCTATCTATTTTAAATAACTCCCCCTGTAGATGGCAATTACTATAGGGTGTCAAGAGTCCAATCAATCATAATAATTGGAAATCAGTTACTTCGTAATGCTAGATTTGATTGAGACGCGATTAACACCATTCGAAGGAAGAGATAAATCTTCATCAAGTGAAAAGTCTACGCCTTTTTTCCTATGTTATATGTTTCCTGAGACGCAATTTGAATGCCTTTCTCCGGTGCCAATTAAAGGCGTTCACATTTTAAAACACGGCTGCGGCGCTGAGTCACGTTGTCTGTCCTGCATCTCATGGGTTGGGTCTCTGACGTGATCGATTCCAATTGAAAGGCATTAGAAGAAAATGGCTGAGGAAGCTGAGGAACCTTTGACAATCTATGATGGTATACCAATTGTTCGGCGTCACTCCGAATTCGCCCAGAAGGCAACGGAAACCACTCGAGAATTGAATGAGAAATCGAACCGAGAAACCGTCAGCCGCAAGTCGATCGTCCGCATCAGCTAGAATTTTGACGCATTCAGGAATAAATAGCAGACTTTCTCCAGTTTGGACGTCGGCTATCGACGATCCCAGACGATTCTAAGCCAGAGGCAAGGCCATCCACGGCATCAAGCATGTGGGCTGCAAGCCTCTGCCTTTCTAGGCCATGCGCTATGTCATTTTATCTGCATGGGCATCGTACTTAGTGGCACTCGATTGTTGATTGAAACAGCTAATTGTGAATGCGTATTGCGTTTTCATCAACCAAGTGTAGGTTCTCCACTTCAATTAATTCTTTTCTTTGTTGATGCATTCTTTCACTGTGAAGTTTTAAATCAGGAGTGGCGGTTCGCGCCGTCGGAACCATGCAATGCTTTTCTGTTTGCGCTTCATATCATGGCCGACGTTTCTTAGTTTTCAGGATCGACGAAATAAATAATGGTAACTTAAACTCTTTGTTTCCTACGTCGCGCTCGTCCCGTCAACATTGCCGGTGACGACCTTCGCGATCGTATGGTTGAACGGGAAGAATAAATGTTGGTAGATGTTGCACAGAATGGCGATGAGGCGGTCGCTGAAGGTGAAAAGTTTGGCGCAGGCGCGGAAAACGCATTTGCCACCGCAGCTGCGGTACGAACTGCGGAAAACGGTGACTAGAGAAATGCTTGCCGTGGGAGTCGTTGAGTTCGAATGAGTGACGAACAGCACGCAGCAGTGGACACTGCAAGTTGGGAGCGGAAGGGCCGCGAAAACCGCGGAACAGCGGGAGGGAGCAATTGCTGTGAGCAGGAATAGGAGAGCCGTGCAGCCTGCTGAGCAACTAGAGGCAAGGAAGCAGCGCACAGGCATTCTACTGGCCCATAGTTGTGTGCATTTGTCTTCGTCGGTGAAGACAGAACATTTATGGCAATGTTGATATCGTTGTGCATCCGAAGCACCATCGGATTGTCGTGCGCATCGACAAAAATAAGCGTCATATTCACCCTATAATGTTCGTGCTACTGTTTCCTAACTGAGATCCTTGTTGGACAATTGATATTCCGCATTACCAAAACGCTACGGCGCGCGATAACAAAGTCACTATGCTGCAGTTTTACGCGGATGGAATATCCGTGCGTACCCACACAGCACAGAGATATCCCAGGGATGTCGCTAACAGGACGAATAGTCCCCTGGTCCTCATAGGATATCCTAAAGACATCTCCTTTCGGACATCCCGGTGGGATGTCTTTGGGAAATCTAAGTGACATCTTTTAGACATCTTCAGTCGATATCTTAGAGATATCCCATTCGGGATATCTTCAAGATATCCTTAGTCGAATGCTTCTGGATATCCTGGAGAGGATATCTTCATATCTTCAGTCGAGCGCTTTTCGATATCTTGAGGAGGCATCTCAGGGATGTCTTTCAGGAAATTCAGCGCTCTCTATCGCCTTCAGTCAGATGCATAGCTTCGACGGTAGATGTCTCCCGTGAGCCCTGATCTGCAACGTCAAATCTTTACTATCAATTTCAACTACTTGATTTGTCCAGAGGATAAGTAATGATTTTTGTACCATACAGGAAAACTGCCACCAGGGAAAGTGAAAAAACTGTAGTCCGTATTTTAATTTATTCTGCTATATTCTATTTAATGATGAGTGTTCGGCATGTCTGGATGCAACTATCTTGGTAGGAAGCCTGAGCCCATACTTTTCGAAAGGCGACAGGCTGAATCATCTCGTCCATGACCTCTGGCATGAAAGTGTTTAATTTCATCCCTTGGAAATGTGTCTCCTATGGTGAGGCCCTTTAAATGGGGATTTTCCTCTCTTCAATCGATCAAGAACGTAAGATTAGGTGTTCCTGGATCAAATAGAGGCAACTCTGAAAGTAATGGGTTCTCTGTTCTCTGCGGTAAGAAAGGAATCCATTGTGGATAGGAAGGCACCTGCAAGTACTACCTGGGACTTCTCACTCGTCCCAAGGGTATATTTCTGGGACATCCTTCGGATATACTTGTGCTGCAAGAAAGAGACATCCTTGAGATGTCATTACACCCTGACATTTTCATATCCCTGAGATGTCCCCATTAGTAATGTCCGGGACTTGTCCCTAGGATATCCCTGGGACATCTCTGAAATGTGTGGTTCTTCAGGAAAGGGACATCCTTGGGATGACATTGGGCCCAGACATTTTGATATCCCTAAGATATCCCTACTCCTTGTCTCTGGGACATTGCACTTGTCCCAAGGGGATATCTCTGGGATATCGTTGGGATATACCTGTGATGTGTGGATAGTGGTGTGTTCAATTCGTAACTTATGTAGGAGGGGAAAACTTTCTTATTTTTGTTTGTGAGGTATCCTCTGGGTTATAATAAAATTACCTGGGCGGCAACACTTTCGAACATCTCGAGATTTGTTTGCAAATGTTTAATGTTGGGTTTGAACCGAACTGCTTTATATATTTATGTGAACATTTTCAAATTTCCGCCAATTAGACGGTCAGCTCTAGTTTCTTTTGATTTCATTAACTCTTTGTTCTTAGATGGAAGTAATTTCATTGGGAATGTCAGCAAATACAATTCATCCTGAACATCCAAGTTCTTATTGACAGAATTGAGTCTTTTGATTTTCTGTACTGCGCAATGTGTATCGTGAGTTGAAGAGCCAAATTGTTTGGGACGATTTGGAACCTTGAATTATATATTTCCGTTTGTGCCACTGCCTTTATTGCATGTATGTTCAAGAAAATCCCATATCATTTCCTCGCGACTGTTTTCCATTTTTCTCTCGATCATGTTCGAGGTGGATCATTCAGTGAGTAAATTGTCCTGCGGTGTAGCAATGATCATCCGATGAATATTTTCGATTTCACCAAGTGAGTCACATTTTCCATATCTCCTCAACTCTCATCGACGCATACCAAACAAGTTTCATTTTTCGCTAAGTAATTCCATACCTGATACAAATTATGCGAATGATGCCATTTTCCCAACTGCCAATGGATTTCGTTGCTACATAGAATTAACTTCAAATTCAATG